TGGGAACCCTATGTCTCCCAGAGAGTTAAATCATGGCAGCATAACCCCTTCCCGTTAAGGATGAGGTTTTCCAAAGAGTTCTGCTCCCACCTCGGCAAGTGGTCAGATGTTCTCAGTGGGGATGCTGCTGAGTCCTTAAGAAAATCAGTGCTGAAAATCTGTCCAGAAGGATATTCGTTCCCTCCAGTTCTTTATGTTCTGTCATGTGCAGGGCATTGGTCCATCCTAGTTCAGCTGTGCTGTTGAGGCTGCTGGAAGTCTAAGGAAACCCTTAAGCACAGGTCTGTGTCTTAAGATCCATCCTCCCTTGGATGGATCTTAAGGTTTGTCTAGCACCTCTTCTTAAACGGTTTCGGAAGGAAAACTAGACCATTTTGCTAGCGGATGGAGCTGCTAAAACGTTGGGAGAAAAAGCCCAACTGTGAGTGCAGCGCATGGCCACCGAAAGCGTGTCTGGGATTCACAGCAGGGTCTAATCCAGCGAAGCCCAGGGGAGCTACTACACCTGAGCAGCAGTGCTGGAATGTTTCTCCTGTCATGCTCACCAAGTGGACAAGTGTCAGAAAGTTCCTTTGATCTTTCAAAAGGCTGGTATCTTCGAGACGTTGCATCAGGGTCGGTGGCTTGTTTGGAACGTCCTGAGCTGGAGGGTGAGGCTGGAATTTTGTCACCAGGGCTGCCTTGCTTGAGGGCCAGCTCTCTCAGCTCATTGATCTTGCTTCTGAGGATGAGTGGGTTTAGACCCAGGATGGACAGAAGAAAGCATTTATCTCATCATTAAAACACAGGTCTGGGAGACAGAGGTAGGTTCTATACCCAACTCTGCCATCGACTGAGACCTTGAACACCTTTGCTGTGTCTTCCCACTTGTAAAACAATCCACTCCACATAGGGTGGCTTAATTCATTCATGTTTCTAAAACACAGTCTCTCAAACTGCCAGAAGGCTTCCAAGAGTTTCCTCGCCAGCTGTTGAACCTCAGCCCCTTGTGGCTAACGGTGGTGGTGTGAGACCTGATTCCCTTTAGCAGAAGGCACCATGGGGTTAATGCATGAGCTTTTCCCCTGAGCACAGACCTGTTCTAAATCTGGTTTGGTGACAAAGCAAACAAGTCTGGTGGTTTCCGCTCCAGTCACCGTGCACATCTGATGTTACCAAATGACCGTGCAGTTTTGATTCCCAGAATCTGGCTCAGCAAGGGTGTTGCAGAACCGTGCACTGCCAGAGCCCTGTGTGGGACGCTGCCGTGCTTGTGCTATGTCTGGTTCCAGCCATCGTCAAGGTCGCTACATTCACCCAGTTGTTTCCTTCAAAGGAAACTGGAGTCAGTGCTGTAGCCTGTGCCCCTTTAAGGACCGAGCTGCCTTCAGACACATGAAGGATGACTCTGGCTAAAGTAAGAGACTTAGATTCTGGATACCAGGGTTCGATTCCCTGCTGTGCCACACACCTTGGGCAAGTCATTTGGGCTCAGAGCCTTAAAGGTTTGGGATCTGGGCCTTGATCTCCCAGCCTCTGTAAGCTGGAGATAATAGCACTGTCCTACCTCAGAAGGGTGTTGGGAGGTGATGCCTTAGGTGGATGGAGGTCAGATTACTCTTGAGTGCTCAGTAAGGGGGCTATAGAAGTAGCTCAAACCAGCACGCCTGCATGCCTTGAACTGGTTGAGGTGCAAAATGAGGCACTTCCTGGAATTGTTTTTGGTTGGAGGCTGGAGTCCCTGCTGGGCAACATAAATGCCCATGACTAGGGGATGTAACCAACTAATAAAATCTAAAGCTTCCATCCCGCTGTGTGTTGCTCTGGGTTTCATGGAGAGGGAAGCCTTGCGTGTGCTTTTCTGACCAGAACCGCGCTCCAGCATTAAACCCTGAGATGGGAAGTGGGGGCAAATAGATTTCTCCTGCAGCTGAGATCTCCTGAACTGTCTCTTAGCGGGTGAGATCAGGAGCCCTGTGCTCCGCATGGGATCACAGGTGACCTTTCCTGCTCTGTAAGAGGATGCTGCTGTAGTAGGGAAGCTGCTGTCCCAGTCTGATGGGGTGGCTTGAGTCCACTAGCCTCATTTAGTTACTGAGAAACTGGGCTACTCTGTGGAGCTTGACTTGGATTCCTACTAAATAGCAAGGGGTTTTCCCTCCTCCTCTTCCTGCTCCAGGAGGGGAAGCACAGTGATTAGGATCAGGCAGCTGCAGTTACTTGATTCCACAGTGGAGCCTTTGATGTCCTGGGCACAGCCCCATGCCCCGGTGTGAGAAGCTGGCAGCAGTAAAATGAAGATAGGCCAGTTCGTGTACCAGCACAAAGGAGCAAGTCTCTCTGCTGCATCTGAGAGAGGCCCTGTGCCTCCCGAGATCAGAGGGGAGCCTGTGTACTATACACCTAAGATAGGAATTCCTTGGTCAGGCTGGAGCAGCGGTGTGGTGTACTGGCTCTGACCTGGGAGTCAGGAGATCTGGGTTCTACTCCTGGCTCAGCAACTGACCCCTGTGTGCCCTTCGGCAAGTCACTCTCCTCACTCTGTGCCTCAGTTTCCCCTCCTTTGTCCTCTCTCTAGATTGGCATCCCTTTCCCAAAGAGCTCGCACTCAATGTACAGCACCTAGCACCATCTGGTCCTGATCCTAGATGGGCCACGTCAATGTTCCTGTATCACAGATTATGATCCCTGACAGGGCTGTTGAATCACAGTTCCTTGCCTCAACATGGTCACAGCCGGAGTCCACCGGTCTGCAGCCCACCTTCCAAGTAGTTCTGTAATGCTGGGCGCATAAGCAACATGTTTTCCTCATGCTGAAGATGCTGAGACTCCCAAGTGATTGGGTGGCCTTATGAATGGGAGCGTGCTGGACTCCGCAGGGGGCAGGCTCCTGCTGGAGAGTAGTAACAGAGCTGAGCTCGTCCATTAGTGGTGGCACCCACGCGCCGTTCGCAGTTACAAGGCGTGTGCACACAGAGATCGACTTTGAACCGCTGCTTCCTAGCAATTGGAACCCATCGTTGCCTTTCTCCACCTGGCTTCAGACCTACCTTGTTGGCTTCCCCTAGGCCTAACCAGACAGCCCAACCGGATGGGCAGAGTCTGCTGCTGCTCTGGCACGGAGGCCTTGGGTGAGAAGTTTCTCTTCCGGCAGAGCTTGGTCTGGGGGGTGGCGACGGTTAGGAAATCCAGTCACTACCCCAGTTCGTGCTGCTGATGTCCAGAGAAGGGAATTTCCTCCCAAATACAGATGGTAGCAGCAGGGTGACTCCTAGCGTAGTGATGCGTAGAAGGAAGCACGGGTGTCTTGCTTTCATTGCGGCAGGGATTGCAGGCTGGGCTGTAACCTGGTGAACGCAGGCCAAGAGCACAGTCCTCTCAGCACCTGGGAGCCCTTTGCTTCCCTCTGATTGTCCTTATCTGTGGAGGAAACGGGGAGGAGTATGAAATCCAAGCAGGTTCTGGGAGCGTTATCAGTGCTATGAAGTGAGATGGCCCTGGAGTACCATTGATGAGCTCGTGGGGCTGTTCTTGTATCTGGGGCCCTGCCCTTGCCCTGGCCTCCTGGGACGTGTTTGGCTGTGAGCGGACCCTGAACTCACTCCCTATCTTATCTCTGCCCAGTCTCTCTGGCTACTTCAGTCTCCTGAGGACCCTTCCCTGAGGGTGTCTCCTGCTGTTTGACAAGAGCTTAAATGGAGCCATGGCTTTCACTTTCTCTTGGCTCATTGCCTGTGGATGGGGGAGGTGGTACCCATATTAATGGGACCAGCGGGAGGTCACATCTGTTTATCCTGCTTCTTTCCCCTTCTACCCTACTCTGACAGCTGGGACCAGCTCATCATCTGGACCAAATCTGGCCGTGCTCAGTGCTGACCTAGTTAGGTCCTTACTGAGGATGCCCAATGGTGGTCATGAATCCTGAGGATCTCGGCGATGAGTCAGAGCCGCCCTATAGAGGGTCAAAAGGCCCCATCGCCTTGATCCCTTTACTGGGCTGCATCAGGATCCAATGTCCTAGGGCAAAGTGAGCTCATGCCTATTTGGGCCTGTGCCCTTCTTTGAGCTGTGGGCTGTCAATCTGACCCGCCAGGCTCTACGCTGGCCACGGGGCATCCTTCATGGGGCTGTGAATGAGCAATGCAGGGCAGACAGCTCTGCTGCTTTAAAGCCCTCTCAGCCCTTTGGTGGTGGGGAAAGGGACACAAGACAAGGACTTGGAAAAGCAGGAGTCGCTGGTTCTTTTCAAACCAGCCACGCCCTGTTTCATTTCATCGCACACACGCGCACGCACCTCCCCTTAACTTTGCTCTTCAGGACAAATTCCATCACCGGTCTTGATGCTGTACCTAGCTAATACCTTCACCAAGGTATCGAAGGCAATCACTGCTGTGCGTGCCCTTTCAAGAATGGGGCCCCCTAGCTGCCATGTTCCAGAGCTGGCCGCCGTCCACTCTGTCTCGCAAAGGCACAAGTTGTAGACCAGTGATTTCAGCTTTTGGAAAGCCAAGCGGATGCAGCACAGAGAACCCCGAAGAGCAAAACTACAGAGATTTTACCGCTCGCCCTCCAGCAATGACACAGCCCTGTGGCTACTGTAAAAATACGGAAGAGTGCTTTAATTTGCCTGGACGCTTATAGACATACACTGTATACACGTGCATTGATACATAGTTTAACAAAAACAACCCCAAAGTGTCTGGCTGTTCCCACTTGGGTAGCTCAGCCTCACGCCATCCGTGGTCCTCCTTTTGAGGGAACAATAGTTGGAGCATTATGCCCAGAGATCTTGGGGCCTGCTGCGGGGGGACGGGGGAGCTGCCAGCGCTCAGGGTGACACAGCAGGATGATTCCACTTCCTGGTCCACGGGGAGCCAGTTCTATTCAATGGGGAGCCAGCGTCCCGGCTCTGGTTTGGCACTGCTCGCTGGAGAGCAGGTCCAAAGCAGTGGTTTTAAATCCTTCGCTGCTCCCCATGCTGGAGGGCAGGGGGAGAGCCCATCTCCTTTTTCGTTACAAAAAATAATAAATAGCACAAAAAAGTCCTTTTAAAAAAAACATACAAACCCCAGCCCGACTCGGTCCAGGGCGGCCGCGGGCGTCTCAGGAGACGAGCATGGGCAGGAAGTGAGTGGAGAGGTGTTGACGCTGCGTCTTGCCCCCCTGCCTGGGCTTGCCCTGGCCGTTGAGGGCCAGGAACATGTGGTGGTCCCCATGGCGCCAGTGTAGTGAGGCGTAGGTGTTGTAGCCGTTCTCCTCGATGCGCTCTTTGAACTTGCAGTTGGGGTTATACTCCTTCTGGGGAGACAAACAGGACCGTGAGTACGGTGCGGCTGGGGGGGTGCCCTCTGACGGGGGGGCTGGAGCAAGGAACCTCAGGAGTCTGGGGTTATAGCTCTAGCTCCTGACCGGGAATGAAGTTCAGAGGTTATAGGAGGGGACTAGGAGTCAGGGAGCTCGTGCTCCAGGAAGGGAGTGGGGTCTAACCGAGTAAGCGGCCAGGAGGCAAGACTCCTGGATTCTTCTCCTAGCAATGTGCTACGGGCCCCCCAGCAGTGAGGGCTTCCTTCCAGCAGGCTGCCTGTCTCTAAGCAGCTACCCAACCCCTCTCTTGGCAGCATCAGGCACAATATCCTGAATGCCAGGCTGGGCCGAGCAGGGTCCTGCTAGCTTCTATCCCAAATTCTCCAGCCGACCAGTCTGATCCCTGGTCCAGAACGAAGCCACGAGCCGCACTCCCCACAGAGCATCATGTAAGGAGGGCCGAGGAGGAGGGGAAACAGCTTGCTACCTACCGACCCGTATACTTTCCCCTTCTTGTTCATGGCCAGGTAGAAGCCCGTGTGCACGGATTTGATGGCTACGACACCCACTCGCACCGACCGGATCTCCAGGATGCCTGGGGGGGGGGACAGAGAATTCAGGGCACTGAATCGGGAGAGTGTACCCGTGCCGCAAGCGGGCATGGAGAACAGCTGGGCTGCCATGGCGCAGGGCCAAGGCGCTTCATTTTGTTAGCCAGCAAAGCACTGTTTTGTACGAGTGCTGATGGAAGCCATCGCATTGCCTGCTACTGAAATGCAGCCACCTCTGGGGTGGAAGGTGGCAGCTGTTTAGCAGCTTATTACAGCAATACCACTCAATACCTAAGAAGCCTTTCATCCAATTCAAACTTTTCAAGGGAGGCAACGTGCAGGCGGCTAGGCTGGAATTTGTCGAGGGCACCCTTGTGTGGAGGGTTCTAGCTGGACCTTTGTCAATGAGGCTGCCGGTAGCAAAACATCTTCCTACTGCTCCCTTCGCACCCTGCCCGCATGTACAATGCAGGTGTTAGCCCAGCTTGCCTGACCTCTGATTTCCCAGTAATGGTCCCCAGGAGGCTTGAGTTAATTGAATGCCTCCCATCGTTAAAGACTCAAACCATCCCCAGCAGCCCGAAAGCTGAGAGCCAGACAGCTGCTGTCACGTGACTAACAAGGCATTGCATTATGCAGTGAAGCTTGTGTCTCTCCCCAACAGAAGCTGGTTCGATAAAAGATATTTCCTTGCCCCTTGAGAGCGTTAATGTATCACTGGACAGGGGAGCGACTGGAGGCTGGAAAGTGAACCAGTGAGTGACTGAGTTACAAATTGCTGCATTGAAATCCCCTGGCCGAGGAGAGCTTTAAGGAGGGATGGCGGGATAACCAGCAGTGCATGGCCAAAGCGCTTACCATCTAAAGAGACAACAGGTGGGAGGTGAAACTGAGGCACTGCGCGCGGCAGTGACTGGCAGGGTCACACAGCAGGTCAGTGGTGAGACTAGAACCCAGGTCTCCTGACTTCCAGTCCAGTGTGCTGGGCACTGGGCAACACGGCCTCCCAATTATTGGTTGCGTTGTAGGAGCACCAAGAGCTCCCAATCAGAGATCAGCGCACCACTCCGCTAGGCGTCCGTACACACTGTGAAGAGAGCCCGTGTTCCAAATAGCTTCAATCTAAGCCAAGGCTTCGGCCACGCTGGGATTTTTGGGCTGAATGCAATGGGGACAGATGATGCAATTTCACCGAGGAGCTCTTAGGCCAAACGCTGATCTTGGTTCTTCTAGTGAAAATCTGGAGTCAGTCCGTGGAGATCAATGGAGTGACTCCCAATTTTCAGCAGTGTAAGATCAGAAATAAGTCCAAGGTAAGCCCTAGACTGCTTCAGAGCTCGACAAGATGCTTGTGTGATATGTTGTTTAGTAGTATTCATTATTTGTCTTGTGATAGCCTGGGGCCACACTGCACTAGGTGTAAAAAGGAGAGTCCCCTGCCCAAAGCACACAGTAGAGAGATCTTTCAGTTCCTCCAAGCCTGGAGAGGTTTCTCCTTCCTGCCACAATACAAAACAAAAAGACCCTTTGATACAGAGCTGGAGAGGGAGACTGGGTTTGCAGAGCTCCGCTCTGGGGCCTTCATCCTTCCAAGCTGATCCAGCCCATAGCACAGAGCTGCGCCATATGCACTAAGGGAGAGAAATCCAGTTTCCTTGGGTTGCCCGGCCTTATCTGTAGAGTGCTGACTGCGTGTTCAGTAGAACTGCTTGCAAATTTTCCAATGCCCGTTTTCCGTCAGAAAATGCGGACTTCACGGAACTGGCAAAACGTATTGATGTTGCCGACACTGGACAGGAAATTATCAAAGCAATTTGTTTTGACTTTATTGTTTCAACTTTTACAGTATAATTTAGAATACAGACCAAAGTCAAAACATTTAGACTTTTAATATAGCACAAAATGAACTAAAGTCAAAATATCTCCGTATCGTGTCGTTTCGATGTTTTGGAAATGAAATCGAGGAATTTTCATTGTGTGATAAATTAGGAAATTTTGACTTTTCACTTCGATTCAGCTCAAGAGATGATCCTCAGCTGGTGTGAAGCAGAAAAACTCCATTGACCTCAATAGATCTACAGTGACTTTATGCCACCTGCAGATCTGTCCCAAAGCCTCTATCCCCAGGAGCTCAGACAACACCAAATGCCCTGGAATGCACAAAGAAGAAAACTGATGTATCCGATGAAGTGAGCTGTAGCTCACGAAAGCTTATGCTCAAATAAATTGGTTAGTCTCTAAGGTGCCACAAGTCCTCCTTTTCTTGCTGCGAATACAGACTAACATGGCTGCTCCTCTGAAAGAAAACTAATGTAGCTCACCAGACTAATTGGTGTCTGTCCTGATAACAAGCATGTGTGGATGTTGACTGAGCTAATCAGTGCAAACAGTTCCTGCCCTTGTCTGTGTTTAGGAGCCAGCTACTCAGACTGCTGCCAGCTCTCCTGAATGCAGACAAAGTCCTTAGAGTGATTTGTTTTTATGTTGCTAATACCTAGTGGTTAGATGGAGCTCTTTTGTCAGTAGATCTCAAAGTGCTTTACAGAGGAGGTCTGCATCATTATCCCTCTTGTACAAATGGGGAAACTGAGGCACAGAGTGGTGGTGATTTCTTCTTTTGTACATGCCACAAGTTGACTGTTTGGCCCTCTAATGGCTGCATCATCGAGGGCACCAAGGTGTTGCAGTCCCCCCCCCCCCCAATCTTCTAAACGTGCACTCCTGCCCCACATGTGGAACTCTCTGCCTCACTGCCCCACCCTCCCACGGGGAAGATTGGACTAAGTCACCTTTCTGTATTGTGGTAGCTGCTCTGGCCCATGCAGTCAGCAGCCTGTGGAGCCTAGTCTAGGATCTGCATCCCAAGTTGCAAGCAGGTAAATTAGGACTTCTGAAATTCATCAGCATGCCGGTCTCTCGATCCCAGAGTTGCTGCCACTCTCCGAGGACACAGGTGTCAGCCCTGATATGCCATGATCCATCTGGGATTGGCACGGGGCATGAATGTGAATGGCTGCTACAAAAGGATGGCGCCTTGTCTAAGTTTTGGGGGAGCTCTGTGTGCCAGTAGATACAAATTAAATATTAATGCGTGGCGAAGGCAACTGCAAATGGTATGTGTCACTGCGTTCAGTTCCACATCAACCAGATGCGGATGCTGCCTTCTGCTCTAAACTGCTCCACCATATTCTGCTGGAGCGAACATCAGCGCCAGGACCAAGGTCTGCAGAAGGTTCCTGCTAGCTTCTGAATCAATGGCCGTGTGGGAGCTGATCTTTCCTTTGCATTCTGCATGGGAACAGTGTGTTCGACTACAGTCCAGTTTGACTCCTAAAGAAGTGAGAACAGGCTAGAAAGAGATCGGACTGTCCTCAGTACAAACTGTTAAGGGTTGGCTGGTCAGGTAGAAGTTTCTCCCAACCTTGCCACTCTTTCCTGGCTTCCAGTGGGGACTAGGGGTTGGCCTGGTTCTCAGGTGCCAGGAGCAGCTTTGCTCCGTCCTGGAGTTATCTGCTGAGATTGACCAGAGCTCAACAGGAATGTTTATTGCTTCAATAAAACACCGTTTGTATCAGTGTTTTTTCTTTCTGTAAAATGCTCGCAACCAAGGAGACAAATTCCAGTTGCCCTCGAGAGCCGGGGATGGGACGAGATGCCCCTTAAGCCCGACAGGATGCTTTGAAACAGACCATTCCAGGTGATGTTAGGCAGTAAACTGAGCACACGGAGGATCCAGAAGAATGGACTCTTCCAGGGATCTGCTCTTGCCCCCAACATATTGATAAATGATCTCCCCCCCCCCCCCCAAGGCCATTCAGGTATGCAGATGACATCTGCCTCGGTTCAAGAGACAGACTTCCAAAAGATTGGGGACAACCTGAACTAAGGCGTGGTAGCATCGGACTCTTGCAAGAAGTGGAGTCTACAGACCCGGGTGTCAAAGACTGTGTGGTCATACTTCCATCTGTGTCACACCAATGCTTCGCAAGAGCTCCACGTCGTCTTGAGTGGAAAACAACGGGCATGGGACCCACTAGCCGTATATCGAGGAGTAACTCCTAGCTTGTATGCTTACCTCCAAAGAATGCCTCACCCACATAGCTGAGAAGATTATGAGCAAAAATGACCCCCAAATAAGCTTCCCAGCTCAACCTGGGGGGGGGCAATGCGCACACACTGTTCAGCTCAGTGTTAGCTCTCTGCTGTGCTCCAGGGTAGTTAAGCTCTTCCCCCACCAAGCTAGTTGATGTCCAATTGAATCAAACAATGAGAATAACCAGGATTACGAGACCAAACAAACACCGAGTTGCTGCTGGTCCTTTCGAATATCTGGTCTGCTAACATCAGGCGTCATGTTCCAGCACAAGAACTGCCTGGACAAAATCCAGGAGACCCACAACTGCCATTTGTCACAGGGATCTGGGAAGTGTCTCACCACCATGAGCAAAACTAAGGAGGGACGAGGAAAGCCGGAGGTTCAGGTAGACCTTTCCCAAGGGCCTAGCACAACTGAGTCACAAGAGGTGCTGTGAGCGTAGGAACGCATGCAGTCTGGTAGCGCAGAGGAGGAGTTGGGACTCGCTGTGTGACGCGGGGTGGATAGTGTTCTTGGTGCCTCATGTGGTCAGCCAAGAAAAATCCGTGGGATGAGATTTAACAGTCCGTTCGGGCCCTATAATTTATGCTCATCGTCTGACTTTCTGCATGACACAAGCCAGAGAACTGCACCCAATAGTCCTTAGAGGGGAGGGAATTCCCCTCCCCTTCTCTACCAGCCCAGCAACTTGTGCTGGGAGATCCTGGGATGAAAGGTGCTGCACGAAAGGAAAAGCATGGTTACCGTCAGGCGCTGGCTGTGGAATTGGGATTTTTGTCCCCTTGCTATGTTCTCTGATCTCCACCTTGAAAAACAGGCCAGCGCTTTGATCACGAGCTGCACGGCCCGTGAGATCAGGCCTGCCTTTTCTGAGGAAGAGCAAAGAACAAAAGCACCTCAGCTTGTCCCTAGCTGCATTAGCCGCAGCCACAGCCGTCCTTTCACGCT